CTGCCTTTCTCAAATGCAACATTTATATCCAGCTCCTTTTCTACAGAGAACTAAAAGCAGCATACGTGGAGTTCCCAGGAGATCTCCCATCCAAGCTCTGTCCAGCCCAGAACCTGCACTGAACTTCAGCAAGATGACCCTTAGCTTATCATCTGCCCTTAGATCACACATGGTAGACAGACCATAATAGTTACAAAAACACTGAGCTCTGCAATAGTGGGTCAGAGCCAGAAATAAGTTCAGTAAAAGTTGCTGGTGAATACAGATCTCTGCTTCTAGACTTATGTGGACTAAACCATGTTAGTGGGGGGTTGCAGTGAAAAGAGGAAAGGTGAATTGCCCCTTCTCCCTCTTCTATCAGAGGATGTGCACTTGCAGAAGTTGGAGAACAACTGAAAATCTGCATGAGTCTATAAATACAGTATACATAACAATCATTAATATATTCTGAACATAGCCAAATCTGTGGATACTTAAATCCAGAAACAGATGTTTCTACAACCCTAAAATAGATCCCAGAAAAACCAGAAATTGGGGGGGGGGGGGGAGAAACCCAAAACAATGAGTGCATAACCCTCTCAAATAATGGAAACAGAGCCTGTAGTATTAAAGAAATGAGTGGCCTCTGGCTGTTGCTCAGCAACCACAACACTATTGCCAGCCTTCAAACCTTGGTTTCCGTCATGAAGAGGCAGGATAAGGGGCAGGGTCGTTTCCAGGGCTGGTTTGGCCTTTCAGTGAGGATTCACTGGAGCCAGGCCTGGAAGCAGTCACCAGGCCACTTGATACCACACAACTTGCATGACTTACCCAGGACTGGCTACCTGCTACTGTTCAACAGCAGCCACCTCAACAAAGCCAGTGTAATGTAGTGGTAAGAGGGTTGGGCTATCCGGCAGACCCAGGTTAAAATTCCCATTCTACTGTGCAGGCTCATTCAGTGACCTTGAGCCAGTCATGGTCATGCAGCCTAACCTACCTGACAGGGTTTTTGTGAGGATAAAATGGGGGACAGGAGAATGATGAAAGCTGCTCTGGATCCCCATTTTGGAGCAGATGGGATATAAATAAAATAATAAATATAGCTGAAGATAGGGTGCAGATAAAAGGTAAGCTGGTGGGTAGGTGGGAAGGAGAAAAGGCAACATGGAAATGGGGGATGCCAAGGGAAAGAATTATTGTAGGGAGGTGGATACAAGAGAAAGAGAAGTATTCCTTGCAAGACCTTGCAGGATCCCTACTGTGAAGTTGGGCCTAGCTCAGTCAATACTGCACAACTTGGTTAGTTTTCCCAGGTGGAGAGAAAGCTGAAGACAGGGGAGCAAATAAATGTATGTTGGCTGGTGAGTGGGAAGGAGGGATGGAAGCAGGAAAATGGAAGAGGCTATAAGGGCTTTCAGGGAAGGAGAGACAAACCAGTGAGGGGGGAGGGATGAAATGCTTAATGCAAGGCCTTGAGGGTCCTGGAAATTATTTTACATAAAAAGTCTTCAAACTACATAGTTCTTAAGAACATATTTTGAATAAATAAAATTTTGTCTTAAAACACAATTTCTATTTTAGAATGAGTGAAATATGTCATAGGGATTTTTACTAAAGCTACCCCAAATTTCCAAGAGATCTAGTAATGGAACCTATGGATATTCTACCCCTAGAAACACTCATATCGTCCTGATTCCAATGATATCATTTTTATTTCAAATACACTTACAGACATTACCTTTTTAATTCCCTGTAGACAGTCCAGGATAGTAAGATTATATGTGCAATTTCCAAATGAAGCATCCCTATGGAGAAAAAATGTTAAAGTATCCCAGATTAAAACAGACACATGCACACACACGCACAAACAAAATTAGCAGCTAGTGTTTTAGACTTGTGAAACTTAAAGATTTAATATCAAATTATAATTACCTGCACACCAGTACACACACACAAGTAACTGAAGGTATTCATATTTAATTCAAAGTGTTAACAGGACAAATACACAAGGTTCATAAACAACAGATTTTTATGCAGTGCCGTATTCTTGCCTATGGAGAATCTGATTTGATTATAGAACTTCTCGTACATCAACCTTTCAAAACATTTTAATTTTATTCTAACAGCAGCAGTTTTGACTGGCTACATGGGATGAAGGTACAAAGGAATAGCAGGCCTGCTGACCCAGACAGCAAACAGAAAAGGAAAGTTTCCCCATCTATTACACTTAATCACATTTCCCTAAATTAACACAGTGCAGCTGCACAGTCTTGGGAGGATTTGGGAGAGAGGCTAGCCACCACTGCTGGAAAGAGACAGTAGGGTCAAAGCAGTGGAAAAGGAGTAGATATGTTTAGGAGGAAGCACCTCTAACATCTGGCAGCTGCCTTGGTGACCATCTTAGTTTTTGAAAAGGGTGGCCTATTTTGGGGGTGGGGGCACACTGTCAGTCCCATGTGAGCTGCCCTAGAAATAGCTAGAACATTCTCAAGAGAATTGGGTGAGCCTATTTACTGCCTAGGAATCTCTCCGTACTCTCAGTTCAGCAACTCAGAGAACAGCAACAGCAGCAGGAGAGGCACAGTGATAACAGAGCACAATTGCTCAGGACAGAGCAGCTCCAACATCCAGCAGTTGCTTCTGGCCCAAGCAGCCTATGAGGGCAGACATGTCTGTAAGTCTCTTGAAAGGGTGACAGCAGGGGGGGAAATCACCTCTCTGCCACAGTTTGAAGGTATAGCAGGGGAAAGCTATGCAGGCTCACAGAACATCCACTGCGCCAAAACTGGAAAAGGCACAAAGTGAGAGACTTTTTAATCACCTGATTTATGCTAAGAGGGAGCCAGCTGATCAAGGGAGGGCGGGTCATGAGACAATTAGCATTTGACCATTGCTCAGATTATTCTAAACCAGTGAGACTCTCTTGGTCTTGTCAACGTATTGTCAGGCCTGGACAATATCCTAACATGCTATTCAGTGCCAGATCAGTTCCTAGGAAAAAGAACTATCAACCAGGGCCTGATCACAAGTGGAAAGTTGACTGGGTTCAAATTAACTTGCTAGTTATTAAGCTTACCATTCTCAGCTGCTCAGCACTGAGGTGGTCCCGTAAACTTGCTCCTTTATGACCCTGCCTGCCCATTGGAAGCCCTGCCTCACATGTCCACACCTGTGAAGTCATTTGGCTAATTATTAAAGACATGGCTTTTCCTGTTGTAAAGTTCTGGTTATAGAACTTCCTCTCCAGACCCAATTGTTTGGCACCTACTGTCAAACTTCTGATACCAAGACAGACATGCTCATTTACTCAGGCCTTCTCTTAGCTTTTTTGTTTTGAGAACTCTCTCAGCTAATAGTCCTTGTCTTTTATATTCAATTAGTGATTAGTAAGAACTCACATGACAGATTAAGACCTTCTTGCTGTTGTTTCAATATTGTTTTTTACAACTTTTAAATTAGTTTTATCCCCCCTTATTCTGTTTTTTAAACTTCTTTTCAGTTTTACCATTAGGATGTTTTACTGCCATTTCATTTTCTGCCTCTTGATGTTATAGCGTTAATAAAAGTCTCTCAATAATTTAGGATTTTATTGTTTGTAGTTTTAAGATTTGTTTTGAACAGCAAAGAATTATGGAAATAGCCTTTCTTTCATATTTGCCCCAGACATTCAAAATTGTGGAAAAACAGATAAAGTCCTCTATGTACAATGTACTTGGGCAAACACATGGAGATCTACGTGACCCAGTAATAATATATGCATAAAAAACAGACATTCTACAGAATTCATAGGACAAAAACATGTTTTCAATTCTGGTCTTGTCTGTTTATTAGTTTTAATTCTGGAAATTACTTTGTAATTCAATATGACTGATTGTGGGCATATAACTATTCCAGTAACTCAAATCGCATGACAGCCAGCATGTCATGTGATTTTAGTTACTGGAATTTTCATAGTATACAAAGCTAGGCTCTGGGAGACCCAGGTTGATGCCATGGATGCTTGCTGGGTGACTTTGGGCCAGCCACATAGTCCCAACCTAACCTACTGTGAGGTAAAGCACCCCTGGCCTCTCCCAAGGGTTAATGTGAACAGTAACGGGCCTGGTCTCTCCTGCAGGTGCTACTAATTGGTTTCTATGCCTATACCACTCTTATCATCTTCAAGGCCAAAGATGTAAGTGTGGTGATTAGCTTCTCATGAGAACCTGTGGTCCGTGTGATGGGAGGGGGAGAACTAGGGGTGATGAGGTAATCTTCTAGAGGCTTCTACTGAAAACGTGTCCTGATTGGATGTCATCCTCACCTGATATAGCTGGGCCCAAAAACTATAACTGAGCTAAGGCCCTGAAAAAGAGAGACTAGCTCCGATTTTGACAGACTGAACTATGACCTGCTTGAATTGCAATTGCTAGCCTGAGCTTTGGCCCTTGATTCTTGAATTTAAGGTTTGTGCTATCTAATGCAAGATCTAAAAAGTGTTAGATAGTTAAGCTAGTTTTTTTTGTTTTCGTGCTGCATGATTTAGAGTCATGTGTTGGCTATAGAATAAAGTTTCATATTGATAGAAATTGAAATAAACTTTATAAATATTTTTTTTAAAATCAAATGCTCTGGTTACTTGCATACAACTGCCCTGGGGACCCATGGGGTTCAGCCTGAAACTCCTTGACACCTACCTAAGAGGCTTGTTATGAGGATACAATGGAACAGATGAGAATTATGTAAGCTGCTTTGGGCTCACACGGAGGAGAAAGGCGAGGTATAAATGAAGTAAATATATAAATAAATGTATGATAAATGGGAATAACACAGGAAAACATTTTAGTGAAATTTCATTACACTGGTCCAATTATAACTAGAATACTACTGAATTAAAAGGTCATATGCAGTACTATATTATCACCCTTTCCGGCTCTAGTGCACTATCCCCTCCTCCCCTCAGGTAAAAAAGAATCCCAAAAAATTATAAGAAAAGGGCTATTTATAGGTTGTTTAGCACATCAACTATATTTCCTGCTAAAAGAGGTCTTCTGTTTGGAAGCAGAAATAGGTCAGAGAAAAAAATACAAAATCACTTTACCAAATTTTTCAAGTTAATAAGTGTTTAGACCAAATCAGAGTTTAACTATACGGTATGGGAATACTTGCAGAAGAAGCAGAAGTCTTACCATTGTTATGTATCACATATGGTTACTTGAACTTTGTGTATTACAGGGATAATAGTTGTTGGAAGTGTTTGCATGGGAAAAACCAAACCAGCAACATGACCTTTTGTACTTTGAGAGGAAAATCCTAAATATAGATTTCTGCTTTAACTGTCAGTGATTCAGCTGAGTTTCACTGTGTATTTGGGAGGCTTGCCAGTGTTGATACTAAAAGCAGCTAGATGTTTGCTAAGAATCAATTTTAGGCATAAGGTTTTAATGGAACCAAAATGCAAAATATGGAGGGTGGGGGTGGTCAAGATACATTTCAGTCATGTTAATGAAATGATGTTCTCCAAAGGGACTAAGGGCAAATACTGAACTTGCATTAACCATGGGCTGAGATTAACTCAGATGCTATAAATGACAATAGCTACAACCCAGAAAGCTCCTTTAGAAATACCTAAGTGCTTATATGGGCACTTACTGTAGTGATCTACAAACAGTTTGAATACAGCCCCACCTCCTCAAGATACTTTACTTTTCTGGATCTTAGATGTGGGGAAACTGAGTATAGCCTGCACTTGGCAAGGGACCAAACTAGGAGAGAAATGGGAAATCTAATCAGATCTCCTATATAAAACAGTTTTGAAAACAGCTGTGGGAGAAGGCCCAAACTCAATCAGGACTGTCATACTGGAGAGTATTGCCATGGGAAAACAGCATGAGGGAATATGGTTAAGTAAAAACAAGACTGACACCAAGTCCCAGAGCTGAAATCTAGACAACCTAATATTAACCTCCCGGACAGGAGTGGTGACAGTAACCAGGTGTGCACACTCCCCCATTCTTATATATCAGGAAGAACAAGACAACCTGCTATTAGCCTCCTGGACAGGAATGGTGATAGTAAACAGGTGTGCACCCCCATTCTTATATCAAGGAGAACAAGGCATTTTTTCCCCATTACACAAGACCCTTGCTGTTTGTAGATCTGTTCCTGATCCATGAAAACTGGGAAGCTGTAGTCTGCTGCCTCACAGTAGCAAAACAGCCATTTTTCCTGCGAAATTCACCAATGTAATTATGATGGTGCAGTGGGAGTAAAAACAGGCTGGAGACAGAATCACATGGTCAGACTGCAAGTGAAGCTGTGAGCCACTAATTTGCAAATGGCAACAGTCTTCTGTACATGGAACACCATGATTTTTATCTAAGATACTTTATATTATTTATTTACTTTATTTATATCCTACCATTCTCCCCAATGGGGACTAAAGTGGCTTACATCATTCTCCTTTCCTCTGTTTTGTCCTCACAACAAACCTGTGAAGTAGGTTAGGCTGAGAGTATGCAACAGGCCCAAGGTCACACACTGGCCTGAAAGTGATAAACGGATTTGGTTTGGGTCACCTGCTGATGTGGTTTGCCTGCAAAATTGTGCAGTACACAGAACTGAATAGAGAATCTCAGTTTTAATTTTTGGAAACAAGTGTCTAGTATTTACAATTTGAAAGACAGGTTTGAAAGCGTGGGGCCAATGGCTGGTGAAATCACAGAAGCCAGTGGGTAGGGTAACTACCCAGGGATCAAAGGTCAGGTGCTAAATAGCTCCTTGCCCATCTATGACTAGGCGAATCAAAATTATATACATCTACATA